TATGTGAGTTCATTTTAATTTCAGGATCTTTGTCTTTGTTGTATCCTATTAACATTCGGAGAGTATTCTGGAAACGTGTGTTAGTACACACAGACCCAGGTAAAGGTCCCTGGACTGAAAATCTACCTCTGTAAGCAGTGGGCAGGGAAAGCCTGAAGGGAGAGGCTGACCACTCCAGTATGGTGATTAGTAGAGAATATTAAGGGAAATTTACATCTGAGAAATATCTTGTGTTGTGCAGAATGAAATGGTTCCCCCATCTCTTGGCAGGCATCAAAGAATTATACAGTGTAAAGAGCAGATATCATAGGTCCTAGTATGTGAATGCTACCAGGTACAGAAAATTACTTTATGTGCTTAGAACTATGGCCTGTTCCAGGAACCAGCACCAAGTGGAAGGCAGGGGAGGGGTGCTGACCTACATCAGAATGAACATGGATTACAATCAGACTGCCTCTAAGGGGTATCTGTGCTAAGCAATCTCTGTTCTGGCCCATGTCCAGCTCTCTGGTCCTGTAGTAGTCACATCATGGAGCAGTCTCCCCTCCACAACTTGGTATAGTTTCCTCATTCTTGTCTTGAATTCTAATTCTCAGATGCAAATCCACGCCAGATATTGACTGAAGCCAAATTGCTAGCAAATTCCGAGAAATTAGATTTCAAATTATCTTGTACTTTGCATGAACTAAAGAAAAAAAATTGCTGAGAAAAGGGCAATTTGCTTTTTGATGGTGTATCATTATCTACAAAAAAATCAGTTATTAATCAATCTGTAATAAATTGTCTGAATAACATGCTACATTTAGAGGGAAAAGAGACTAGGCTGTTGTGCAACACCTAGGTCACTAATCTGCTTTTTCGGGGGTTTCTAAGTCATCTAATTAGACATCGCTGCTTCCTAGAATTTTAAACTTAAACACACTTATTCTTTAAAGGCTGTTCAGTTTGCTTCACAATTTATATAGCTCTTGGCAAATACTGTTGGCATGGAGTAACTGGTGCATCCCTAGGCTGTTTAATTAATACAGTATAGATTTCATTCTTCTGAAAGGAAATTGTAATACTTAAATTTGTTAATTTAATGGCCCAGTTCATTGTTGATTAAGCTATCAGAAACCAAAGTAGTTTTATCTGACAACGAGCTGGTTGTTTTATTTCACTGATAGGCCTGAAATACTGTAAATATGCTGATTTCCTATTACAGGGAGCATCCTATTGCTCTGCACTGTATATGTTTTATAGCACTTTTAATTCATTTAGCAAATATTGGAGCATTTAATGTATTCCAATCACTGGGCCAGGTGTTTTAGTTTTTAGAGTCTCCTATTAAATAATGTCTGGGACGTTTTAGATCAGATCATTAAATTAATCATTTAATATTAAATGTTAAAAATTTTAACATTATGTTAGAGGGAAAAGTACTTATTTTCTTTGAAACTGTTCTGTCAAAACACTAGTTATGTTTTGGGAACTTTCAAAGCCATATGATCTATCAGCTCTGATTTAAGATAAGCAGAATAAATAAAAACCCAACCCCAAACAGACTGGTGCTTCTATTTATCTCTGTCCTTTAAATTCCTAGAAGTAAAATGTTCAAAGCTTGAATATCTTACAACCTTAGAACTGACAGAATGCTACAGTTGATTAAACCAGCCATAATTCATCCAATTTAAGCCACAGAGCACTTTATAGGAATGTTTAAAAAAAATCAACTTAGTAAAATGTAAAGATCTTATTGGTTTTATTCAAAGATTGATGAGTCGGGCAGCATCTCATCTAGTAGATAGAAAGGAGCTCCAAGAAGCTGTACAAAATGAAAGACTTTATAGGCATGGGAGTGGGAACAAGGAAGTTACACTAGCAAAACGTGGATTGGCTGTGGCAAGGTCATTTTCCTTTAGGGATGTCAGGGTCTATCAGGCAGATTGCCTCGCCAGTACTAACCAGGTGATTTTTTAAAAAAATATATTTTATTGATTTTTTATAGAGAGGAAGGGAGAGGGATAAAGTGTCAGAAATATCGATCAGCTGCCTCCTGCACACCCCCTACTGGGGATGTGCCCGCAACCAAGGTACATGCCCTTGACCAGAATCGAACCTGGGACCCTTCAGTCCACAAGCCAACGCTCTATCCACTGAGCCAAACTGGTTAGGGCTAACCAGGTGATTCTTGATTGGTTCAGTGTTCCATTTCTATGAGAGCTGAAACTGTAATTAAGTTTGAGGTTAGTGACTTGGGGCTTAACATAAGCAACTCCATTTTGAGCCTGTTGTCTTGTTTGTAACAGCAAATATATGGTTGTCCTTGAAAACCATAGCTTCAGAAGGCGAGATGTTATACCAGTTATGAGCTAATAACAGTGTATTGACTATAAGAGTTAATTTTTTTAATATGAAAGGATCCAGGAAGTAGAGTTTGGCTGGTGGCTCAGTGACACAAAGATGGACATCTTTGCATTCTTTCAGCTGACATTGCAATTTCCTGGGCTGTTCTTTTATCTCTTAAGATGGCTAACATTATGTCTGTTTCCCAAGCCAAAGATAGGAGAAGAGGATAAGGGCAAAAAGGATGACTTGCAACTTCTGGATGTATCTCTGGCCGTTCCTATCTTTAAAGGAGTCTAAGAAATGTAATTTTTCAGCTACTCCCAATGACCAAAGTTCTGCTAGTAAGGAAGAAGAGAATGGTAAGTTAGGCAGCCAGTAGCCTCTACTATAGGTATTAACACCTCCCCCAACACATACATGATGCACAAACCAAACCATTTCTCCCTCCCCAACAGCACATATGGATTTATTATCTATGAGTCGATCTAAAGCTTTCCTGCACCTATTTATCTTTTCAGCTTATATTATCTCTCCTGAGATTTTAGTGTCAGTGTAAGTCCCTCAGTGTTAATTCTCTGGTAGCAGGATTTTGCAGTGGAAAGAGCACTGGACTTGGAATCAGGAATGTGACCTATAATTTCAGTTCACCACCAGGGTGTTGCCCTTTGATATCTGAACTTCCATTTCTTCCTTTGGGTAGTGGTAATAAAATACCTTATCTGCCTTCTTAGAGGATCACATGTGCATTTTTATTTTAATGTATATAGAACTATGTGGCATATTTCTCCATCTTTACCATCTCTGCCTTCCTCACTGCCACTTCTTGTTCAGGGCCTTGTTATCACACTTCTCTCTTGGCTATTGCAATAGTTCTCTGAGTCAATTCCAGTCCTTACAACTCTACAGATTTCTACATAGCCCTCATTTTTATTGTTACTGGACATATGTACCATGGGGGAAATATTTAATTATAAATTTTACTCTTAGACATTAAGTTTATCTTTTCAGATTTATTTTGTGGTGGTAGATATTTTATATGTATGTATATACATATATTACAAATGTATATCTTATGATTAATTATTTTGTTAAAAGCAAATTCCTGAGTTACTAGGTTATTGGGTGGTTCTTTGAGACTTCTGCTTCATTTTCCCAGTTATTTCTCGAAGGATAGTTCTAATTTTTATGCCACAAATGAGAGAGTATTATGAATGTATTAATAGCATTTCATACATAGTCTAGCAAAACTTTAAAAATATATAATAGCCCTAGCTGGTTTGGCTCAGCAGATAGAGCGTCGACCTGCAGACTGAAGGGTTCTGGGTTCGATTCCAGTCAAGGTTATATGCCCGGGTTTCAGGCTCCATCCCCAGTGTCGGGTGGGCAGGAGGCAGCTGATCAATTATTCTCTCTCATCATTGATGTTTCTCTCTCGCTTTCCCTCTCCCTTCCTCTCTGAAATCAATAAAAATATATTTTAAAAAATGTTTTTAAATATAATAAAAATGCACCTTGTCCATTCCATGCACATGGAATCTGGCCCCACAAGTCCTGTATATTTGGTGCACTGCAATCTGGTAACCTTGTATGTATAGGCCAGTATGAGTTCAGACCTTAAATGTGCATTTATCATACATGTCAAAAGTGGTAAACATCTCAAGGAAAGATTGACAGTTTTTTTTATTCCTCATAACATCCTGTTTTCTTTAACAGGGTACTTCAAGGTCATTTAAGGATAGAGTTGGGGCCTGGCTGGTGTGGGTCAGTGTTTGAGCATCGACCTATGAACCAGGAGGTTATAGTTCAATTCCTGGTCAGGGCACATTGCCGGGGTTGCAATCTCAATCCACAGTATGGGGCGTGCAGGAGTCAGCCAATCAATGATTCTCTCTCATCATTGATGTTTCTTTTTTTTTTTTCTTGTAACCGCTTTATTGAGATACAATTCACATAGCACACAATTCACCTATTTAAAATGTATACTTCACTGGTTTTTAGTATATTTAGAGTTGTGCAACCACTAATCTACTTTCTATTTCTATGGATTTGCCTATTCTGGACATTTCATATCAATGAAATCAGATAATATGTGGTGTTTTATGACTGACTTCTTTCACTTAGCATAATGTTTTCTTCAAGGTTCACCTATGTTGTACTATGTATTAGTACTTTGTTTCTTTTTTTTTCTTTATTGACTAAGGTATTACATATGTGTCCTGATCCCCCCACCCAACCCCCACTCATGCCCTTCACACCCCTGGTGTCTGTGTCCATTAGCTAGGCTTATGTGCTTGCAAACAAGTCCATTGGTTGATCTCTCCCTTTTACCCCCACCCTCCCCTTCCTTCCCTCTGAGATTTGACAGTCTGGTCGATGCTTCTCTGTCTCTGGATCTGTTTTTGTTCATCAGTTTATGTTGTTCATTATATTCCACAAATGAGTGAGATCATGTGATATTTATCTTTCTCTGACTCTGACTGGTTTATTTCACTTAGCATAATGCTCTCCAGTTCCATCCATGCTGTTGCAAATGATAAGAATTCCTTTTTTACAGTAGCATAGTATTCCATTATGTAGATGTAGCACAAGTGCTGGCAAGGATGCGGAGAAAAAGGAACCCTCTTGCACTGCTGGTGGGAATGCAGACTGGTGCAGCCACTGTGGAGAACAGTATGGAGTTTCCTCAAAAAACTAAAAATGGAACTCCCATTTGACCCAGTGATCCTACTTCTAGGAATATATCCCAGAAACTAGAAACACCAATCAGAAAGGATATATGCACCCCTATGTTCATAGCAGCACAATTTACCATAGCTAAGATTTGGAATCATCATTGATGTTTCTATCTCTCTCTCTCTCTCTCTCCCTTCCTCTCTGAAATAAATAAAAATATATTTTAAAAACATAATAAAGATAGAGTTTGGGCTTTTTTTGCATTGAGACCTAAGAGAGTCTCTCCTTCCTCACTCCGTGTAGTCCCCAGCTCTTCTACCTGCCCTTACCCTCTCTAAGCATCCATACCGATTTCCTCCTCACTTGGAAGCCCTGACTATGTAGAAGGTGACACACTGTTATCAAATGTCAACTGCTGAAGGCTTAGAGCTTGTTCACTTTCACCAAGGATTTAGGAAAGGATTCTGAGTTTTAGCCCTTGATTAAGAAAGGAAATCAAATTGACTTAATTTTTCATTTTCTTTAAAAGTAAGTCTTATATTCAGACAAGTTACTCAAGTTCCTCGATGAGTCCTGCCCCATTCCTCTTCTTTTATCAGAAAGTTTATAAAAAGTTGGATGATGGGAGAACTTGGATTAGTTATGAGATTTTCTAAATTTTTTTGAATTAAGTGTAATTACAGATTACGTAACTGAAATACACGATTTAGCTGATTCAGAGAATCATAAATATATGTTTTGGGGGTCAAAGTATGAAGCATTTTTTTTACCTTTCCCAGAACACTTTCATCTTAACACATTGTGGATGGATCATGAGAATTCTTGCTTCATATTACACAGTGTTTTACAAAGTATCATACTTTAAAAAGATATTAGCTTGTAAGCATATGTAATAAATAACTTCAAAATGCAATGGGTATTTAACTTTAAAGCGTGCCTTTAACATTTATGTAAAACGTTTTTATACTCGTTCAATAGAAATTTATCTGGCTACTGAGTAAAGCTAGCAATAAAACTACTGGTCTGCAGTGTGTTTAAGATGTCTTTAAAGAGAAACTTATTCTTTTATTTAGCAAATACTAATATTTACTATCCTATCCAGAATTAGCATTATATAATTCTGTGGAATTTATTGCAGTACTCAGGTCTTAGCCCCTATACTCTTTATAAATGCAGTTGAAACCAATGATTATTTTTTTATTTTTACAAATGTTTTATTTATTTAGTTAGTTAGTTAATCCTCACCCAAGGACAGTTTCCCATTGATTTTTAGAGAGAGTGGAAGGGAGGGGGAGAGACAGAGAGAGTGAAACATCTATGTGAGAGAGAGACATCAATCGGTTTCCTCTCACACACAACCCAACCGGGCCTGCAACCAAGGTACATGCCCTTGACCAGAGTCAAACCTTCGATCTTTCAGTCCATGGGCTGACGCTCTATCCACTGAGCCAAACTGGTCAAGGATTAACCCTGATACTCTTCCTTGCACATTTTTTTATCCTTTTTAAATCTTTCAATAAAAGTAATTCCCCTTTTCCCACTGACTGATGTATTTTTATTAATTCAGTTGGTTTTGGGACATAAATATGTGATAGAGCAAGTAGAATTGTTGCTGACCCCAGCAATTCTGGTTGTTCTAGAGTAGCTTATATCAGCTTTTCTTACATTATCCTCTGTTTAGAAAATAATATTTTCAAAAAAATTGCATCTTTTTAAATTTAAATAGTTAGAAAGCCTTTTAAGTCTACCAGACCTGAGGCCCTGAACCTAAGCAAAGTACCGAAAATTAGGTACAGCAGTATAGCGGCAGATTCGGAAATTACTGAAAAATCAGTACAGCAGTCTGGTAGGGTTAAAAAAATCTGACATTAAAAATTGTAAGTATTTTCTAACATTTAAAATTTAATATAAGAAATATCATTGATGAATTATGGTTGTTGGATATTTATATTTATACTAGAGGCCTGGTGCACGAAATTCATGCACGGGGGCTGGGGGGTCCATCAGCCCGGCCTGCACCCTCTCCAATCCGGGACCCCTCAGGGGATGTTCAACTGCTGGACATCCCTCCCGCAATCCGGGACCACGACTCCTAACCACTCACCTGCCTGCCTGCCTGATTACCCCTAACCTCTCTGCCTGCCTGCCTGATTGCCCCTAACTGCTCTCCCCTGCCTGCCTGATCGCCCCTAACTGCTCTCCCCTGCTGGCTTGATCACCCCTAACTGTTCTCCCCTGCTGGCCTGATCGCTCCTAACCTCTCTGCCTGCCTGATCACCCCTAACCTCTCTGCCTACCTGCCTGATCATCCCTAACCTCTCTGCCTGCCTGTCTGATTGCCCCTAACTGCTCTCCTCTGCCAGCCTGATTGCCCCTAACTGCTCTCCCCTGCCAGCCTGATCGGCCCTAACCACCTCTGCCTCAGCCTCCGCCACTGTGGCTTTGTCTGGAAGGATGTCCAGAAGATGTCCAGTCTAATTAGCATATTACCCTTTTATTAGTATAGATTTATAACTATAGTTACTTATCTGTTGCTCTATTTATTTCTCTTCCTAGGTGAATATGTCAAACCTTTCACACCAGAGAAAGCAAAAGAAATTATCATGTCTTTACAGCAACCTGCCGTCTTCTGTAATATGGTTTTTGATTGGCCAGCACAACACTGGACTGCTGAGCACCTTTCCAAGGTCCTTCATGGCAAGCAGATACGATTTAGGATGGGAATGAAAAGTACAGCTACAGGTAGGTATGATTACCGCAAGTAATCATAATAATAATGTCTCTTCAATAGTATTTCCACATTCCCAGCAGTGTGTTCTTTATCTCTAGAAAATCCTTTATTTCTGATTCTCTTTTTGACCATTTTCAGATAGAGAATATTTTATTGGAAGTTTTAGGACAGTTTGTGTTAAGATTTTTTTTTTTAAAGAATAAACAACCTATAGTTTATAACCTCATCTATATATATAAAAGCCTAAGCGACCGTCTGACTGTTTGCCTGTCCGACCTATAGCTATGACACGCAATGACCACCAGAAGGTAGATGCTCAACGCAGGAGCTGCTGAGCTGCAGTGACTTGCAGCTGCGGTTCTCGGATGACACACCCAGAACCAGAGAGGAGGGAGCCTGATTCTGGGGTGCGTCACCCGAGAACCGCCCTCACGCAATCTGGGACCCCTTGGGGGATGTCTGAGAGCTGGTTTTGGCCCAGTCCTCACAGGCCATACTGAGGGACCCCACCGGTGTAGGAATCCATGCACCAGGCCTCCAGTATAAAATGTTTTTGTTCAAGCATGTGGCAAGCACTTAATAAATATTTGTTAATCTGCTATTATTTCTGTTCCCACATGACTGAAAATGACCAATAGTAATCTAATAGTTGCTCCCACTTTTGACTTGCATAGAATGTGTCCTTTTATGTGTGGCTTCAGGCACTATTTATAGTGCTCAGTCTTGGTTGAAATTTTATCTCTTTGCCTTATCAGCTGCCTGACCTCCATTGCAGGTAATATGCATAGCTATTTTCTTTTTCTCTTAAGCAATTAGATTTTGCCAGCTCCCTCTTCTTCCCTGAAGACTTGTAATGTTTTGATTGGTTTGCCTTATAGTCAGATAGCACAATTATTGTTACCTCTCAGAATATTTAATATAAGAGAAGGATATCGTTTCTAATCTAAAGGAGTCCACAACATTGTCTGGCTTCAGAATGTGTGTTTAACTTATATTTAAATATGGGCAGGTTTGGTAGTCTAGAAATTCAGCGTTTTAAGTATTGCTGTGAGGTGGCCTATGAATATCTACTAACTGAGACAGTTTAAGAAGGTATCCGTCTTCTCAAAGCTTCTTTCTTTCATGTTAACCTTCTATTAGATCTCATAGAATTATTTGGTTTTTAGTGTCTAGAGCAGCTGTGGGCAAACTACGGCCCGTGGGCCAGATTCGGCCCGTTTGAAATGAATAAAAATAAAAAAAAAAA